TTTCTTTATTTTCAATTAAATCCACATTATAATTTTTTTTTTCGATAACAACTATTTTATATTTTTTCAACTTTTTTCAATTAAAACCATTTTATGATAGTAGCTTTCCATTCTGCACTTCCTTTCCATTCGATTATCATAGCAACTATAATCACACCACTCATAGCAACACATAACCACCCAAAAGTTTCACCAAATATACCATAAATAGTTCTAACCCTTGGATACAATGGTACTTGAAATGTAACAAATTTAGTATTTGAAGTTGTAGTTGGTACATAATGATATGGCTGGCCGTATGGTCCCCAAACACCAGATATCCCATTTGCATTACATCTAAACATTGTGAAACCGTTTTCTATTGAACGGATCGCGTTCATACGAGCATGAAGAATTCCTACGGGACCTATTTATGAGAATTTAAGGAAAAGATAGATTGAATATTAAAGATATATAGAGAATTACCGTAAATTCTCGAAATAACGGGTATGGGTGCTAGTGCCTAAAAATAGTATATTTGGTTTTGAAATAACGCGCATTTATAATGATTCTTATACATTATTTTTTTAGCTTTTATAATAACTTGCACATGATAACCGTGAAAAATCTTCACGGTTATCATGTCCAGACAATTAAATTTTTATCATATTAGTCAATTGTGAAGATTGGCTAATACAATTAAAAAAAAAAAAAAAAAACTCGCACATTATCACTGCAGAAGCTTTAGCTTATGTCAATCGCAAAGATTTTTCACGATTAGAAAAATCGATCTGTTATTTCAAAATAATGCCAATGGGCATACTCGAAATAACGCGCAGATGCCCGTTATTCCGAGAATTTACGGTGAGATTTTATGAAAACATTTTACCCTATAATTTTTAAATTTTAATAAATTATAAAAACTTGTTAGAAAATATATAAAACACTAAAAAAATAGAACCAAGAATAGATCAAATAAATACTTAACCCAAGTATTACTCGCATCCAACATTAAATTCACCTCTTTATGAGAAGCTTGGTTAATTAATGATGGAAAATCATAATCAAAACAAATTGCTGCACCAATAACGCCAAATTCTTTCGTTATATTAGTCTGCAGTACATTCACACCTCGCTTAAATACTCTACTTTCTAAAAATGGAACTAAATTTGCTTTTGAATAATCTATTATTATATCACCTGATGGAGCAATGACTGTTAATTTATTATAATGAGGTTGTTCAGGACGGAAGTCTATATAAGCAACACCTATATACGTATTATAAGTTTGGGAAATATTCGTGAGTGAGGTGAAGAGGTCAGTTAATTGGGTAGTATCAGTTATATTTCCAGAGCCTTCAGACCACAACACTATTTTACTGCCATTTGCAGCTAATTGACGAGTTGTTTCAATATAATCAGAGTTAACCGTTGAATCTTGGCGAATTACACAACCCATTGTTATCAACGAAGGAGCGAAATCATTGATATTTTGTTGATAAAATGGCAAATATCCTGTTGAAAGTCTAATAGAACCATAAGTGATAACCAAACATAGCACGATTAAATATACAAAAAGGGAAGTAAAAATCGGAGGTATAGAAAAGTTAATTAAATGACGCCTTCGACGATTATTTGTGGTGGGTAAAACAGTATCCGTGCTATTATCTTCAGAATCTTGATAGATTATCAACGGAGCAGTATTTTGACCATTTAATGAATCTTTTTCGTTAGTTAGAAGCCAATTAGTGAGAATATCACAACCTATGGAACCACCCCAGGCCAAAACAAAATTTATGCCGCCTAAACCGGCGAATGAAGCGAATTGCATTATTTCGTCTATTCCAAGAAGAGCAAAACTAATAACATACAAATGAAAAAGAAAGTTTTTAAAAAATCAAAACCTTAAAATCAAGAAT